AGGAAGTGATAGAAAGGAAATGTAAACCCACAGAATAACAGGCAATGCCCATAGGTGAGCACAGAAGCCAAACAGCACATGTGCAAGGAGAACCACTGCACCAAGGAGGTAAGAATTACACAGGCAGGAAAACTGCAAGCTCAGTCATGACACACAATTTTTTCTGTGTTAAAAAGTTTGAAAAGGAATGGTCTAGACTGGGTGTCGGCAACCCGCGGCTCCAGAGCCGCATGTGGCTCTTTTTCACCTTTGCTGCGGCTCCGGAGCACACTGCCCACCAGGTGACAGGCAATAGGGTTGCCGTAGCTCAGTGGTCAGCAAGCCACGGCTCTTTACACATGCAGCTCTTCTGTGTGCCGGGCGCCCGCTGGCAAACATTGGCTGTCAGGATGTAGGCGGGGCAGCGTGACGAACTCCTCTCCTCTCACAGTCCGCCCTGAAGACCAGAAACGGCGCGGGAACACGGCGAGAGGAACGCGCGGAGCAAAGGTAAGTGAATTGACACAATATGGGGAATGAATTACTATGGGGGATGAATTACTATATGGGGGATGAATTACTATAGGGGGGATGAATTACTATATGGGGGATGAATTACTATATGGGGGATTAATTACTATGGGGGATGAATTACTATGTGGGGGATGAATTACTATATGGGGGATGAATTACTATAGGGGGGATGAATTACTATAGGGGGGATGAATTACTATGGGGGATGAATTACTATATGGGGGATGAATTACTATATGGGGGATGAATTACTATATGGGGGATGTATTACTATAGGGGGGATGAATTACTATATGGGGGATGAATTACTATGGGGGATGAATTACTATATGGGGGATGAATTACTATAGGGGGTATGAATTACTATATGGGGGATGAATTACTATATGGGGGATGAATTACTATAGGGGGGATGAATTACTATATGGGGGATGAATTACTATGGGGGATGAATTACTATATGGGGGATGTATTTTCAGTTTTAAAAATGTTTCTCTCAAAATAAATGTCAATCGTGGTTTTGGCGAGATTTGGCTCAGTTGAAAAAAAAGGTTGCCCACCACTGACCTAAGGCTATGATTGTGATTATGACAATACACTGTGGCCCTGATTAACCCTTTGCTTACTGGGCCCTTAAACCCCCTTCATGACCAGAGCGCTTTTTGCAATATATGCAGTGTCAGATTTGTTTTAAATGTTGCAATGGTTTTGCAGCTCCCAGTCTTTTTTTCCCTCTCGGATAACGGGTCCAAGTGGCTCTTTATGTCTTAAAGGTTGCAGACCCCTGGTCTAGACTAAGGGTCTCCAATGTATAGCCTTCTATCTGTTGACCCCTTATCTAGACTGATGAGCTGTTGGCACCTTTAGCTTTGGAGGGTATAGTGTTCCTAATTTAAATGTATGTTTCACTGAATAACACAATGTTTTTTTATAAAATAGTAATAAAAATAATGGGGATTTAGTATTTTTATGTGATACACACTTTTGTTTCCATTTGAAGTTCTGACTCTAAGACATCATGGTGATTTCCACCTTCAGTCAGTCAGTTCATCTGAAACATCTTCTATCTGTTGATCCCTCATTTAGACTGATGAGCTGTTGGCACTTTTAGTTTTGAAGGATATAGTGTTCCTGTTTTAAATGTATTTGTAAATGCACAAAACAGGTTTAATTTACTAATTATAATAGGGATTGATTTTTATGTGATATATCATTTTTAAAAAAAAATATCATTTTGTGACCCTCAATGTAAACTGTTGTTTCCATTTGAAGTTCTCAGTCAGAGAATTCATTGTAATTTTCACCCCTAGTCTGACAGTTCATCTAAAATATCTTGTTATCGGCTTTGAACTGGCCAGGATAAAGATGGTGTCCTCTAGAGTTGGAAATGATGAGATGAAAAACCAGTTTAGTAGATACATATTAAAAGAGCTAGAAGTGATCAAGAAACCAAAACTTACCATCAAACACGAAGCAGCAGAAGAGTAAAAAAAGATCAGAACCATTGTCCCAGCATCACGGAGCCTAAAAGTAGACAAGAAAGTGAAGTTTATAGAGATGGATGTGAGAAGGAAGGGCAACCTGCAACCAAGAATGAAAAGCATGTACATACAGTACTTCCCCTTTCCCTTTACTTCTCTTGGCCAATTAAATCACTTTGGGGGTCTAAAAATATGGTTAAAAATGGGTCATTTTGAGGTGTTCATCCTGTCCTGGCATTTTTTTAAACAGAAAGTAAGGGAAATATTTTTTTTATTTTCAAAGTATTTTTTTTTTCCTTTTACACTCATGAACTTAAATCTTCCCCCCAAAAAGATACAAACCTAAGCACACATTTTGAGGGGCACCTCCATAAAAAAGCAAAGTGTGCTATACTTGTTACAAATCTCTATGTTGGCTGGAGGGAGAGATACAGTATAATTTTAGGACCATCATTAAAGGTTAACCAAAGCTTGTTCTTGTTTTATGGGTGCACGCAATTTTAAAGCTTTACATAATGGATATCTTTTTATTCAACACAACCTCATATCACTATAGATATCCAGCAGGAGATTTTTTTCCCTATTGAGATCTTCAAAGTGTTCCTTTAATTTTTTTGAGCAGTGTATATATATATATATATATTGCCTCGGGAGGAAACAGTTATACCAGGATCATGGCTACAGTTGCAACCATGATCCTGATATAACCTTTTCCATCCAGTGAGAGTATTTGATCCAAGTGGCTTTTCAATGACCTAATCACTTTTAGGTGTTGGTGGTGGGCCCCTCTCATGCCACCACCCACTGCCATTCTGGGGCCTCTTGCATTCCATCAGGGAGCCTGGGACAAATGTAAGTGATCAAGTCAGCTGCACAAAAAGGAGAAGGAGGAAAATCCGTTCCTCCATCTACCCCATGAAAAATGAAGCCAGAAGTGACAAGGATTCTGTCTGATATTCTTTGGTTACCTGGCCAGTACAGCCAAGCTGATCTGTGTTTGATTGGCTGCCTTAGAGGACAGAGGAATGATTGGAGTCTTATAGACCCCTGTTCTCTCAATAAAGAATACCTGTCACTGCCTAAGCTATCACAAGAGGTGCTCAAGCATGTGTAGGCAATAATGTTAAATGTAAATATATAAAAAAAATATTAAAACATTAAATAAAATATAAAGCACCTCATCTCCCCATGCCAACATACAAATGCAAGCACAAAAGTAATTTTTCTAGAAAATAAAATGCAGATTCTTACATATACTGTATATGAAACATTTCAAAATTGCCCCTGGAAATAGATGATTAATAGAAATGTCTGTGTGTCCTACCATCAGCACTGCTCAGAACCCTTCCATTCACCCTCTAATGTCCGTCACTCAGTCCACTATCAGTTTTTTTGCCTGTTGTCAGTTGTTACAATCTCTCGAAAATGAGCACATAAGAAAATTTCCTCCCAGGCGGACTTCAATCTCGGGGTAGCAAGAACAAGGAGCAAAGCCTGTATCAGGGTGAAGGAGTTTAGAACAAGAAGTGATAACCAAAATCCATACTGTACCTGCATAATGACTGCAAAATAGACAATGGCCGTCACAGTGTAGAATGTTCCAAAAAAAAAAAACAAGTACTGTGTCATCCGGTGCACACCATTCTCGTAGGACCTCAGGTGTTCACTGCCAGATGTTTGAACATTCTTCATTCTCATTCTCTTTCTTCAAGGTCACAACTGTGAACAAAGTAGTGGTGAACACCTCCAAGAAAGGGAGAATAGTAGCAATTATGAGAATGTTGACAAATGTTGTACTTGAAAGTATGGAGACCATAGATGGAGGATTATCGGTGGTATTACCAGATAGTGTTGGAGAGAAAATGAAGAAAAAGCTGCTTGAACAGAGACACCAATTCAGCCACCAATAGCATCCTGGGGACAATTAAACTAATATTCTTCTTCATCCAAGAGAAACAGCCTGGCTTAAAATCTTTATGAAATAGAAAAATCCCAGACTGGATGAAAGCCACCCACATAAAGTGATGGTGAAAGCCACCTACATAAAGTGATGGAAAAAAGCAACAGAAAGAGATAAATATTAGTGGTATTAATAGTCAGGTAGGTTCCAAGGCTGCAGAAATAATCAAGCAAAGCAAGATTAATCAAGATACCAAAGCACACATCGTCGATGGTCAAACAATGCAAGATTTTGTAGCTGCTGCTCACTGGTTTTGTTTTTAAAAAATCTCCACAAACTACAAATTTATTAAATGCATTTGTTAATATGCTCATCTCTAAAACCAAAATGATGAAAAACGGTAAGTGGTTTTGTATGTAACCTCCAGGAATCATGACGGCACTATTAGTCAATTTCCTTTTTCTGTTTTAAAATTCAGAGTCCAGATCAGATGTTTGAACATTTTCTAAAATTGTGTTGACGCCAAGGAGGCATTCCATGTCCAAGCTCTGTCCAATCACAGGGAAATCTGAGGCTGCATAATGTCAGACCAGCAACTAAATAGCAGATGGTGAAAACACTTGACGTCATGATCCATCAGGTGAAAATAAATATTCCAACGCGAGGGTCCATCATTTGAATATATGCAAAGTGTTGAGTTCTGTTCAAACACATGTAATAACTGAAAACAAACATTATGCAAAAAATATTTTTTCTGCATATGGTCTTCCTCATGAGACACGGGCCCATCAAGTTTATGGAAAAGTCTGCATAATTATTGTTGACTAAGAACAATTCTTTTGATTTATAATTACACGATATGTTCTGTAAGGACTGATTTCCAACAAAAACAGCAGGTCAGTTCGGGTTTTACATATTGTTGTAAGTGTTTCAGGAGAAGCAAGTTCAATCTTTTTTATCAATAGAAACTAAATCTGGAAGTGCCTTGGTTTATCCATCAACTAACATTTATAGCCTCCACCATAACTAGCTCTGAAAATGGGCAATCGGGACATTTTACATAAGGTAACCAAGTTCCTGATCCATTTGGAGAGGGTAATGTGCACACTAGGGGTGGACTGACAACTCATGGGGCCCCCGGGCAATAGAGGATCATGGGGCCCCTGTGTTCTTGCCCAAACTCAAAAAAGCCTATGAAAAAGGTACCAGGGGCATCTCATGGGGCCCCCTACTGACCCCGGGCCCTCGGGCAGCGCCCGAGTTTCCAAATGGTCAGTCCGCCACTGCTGCACACTTTTCCCCACAAATTTGAGTTTAGTTGAGTTTTTATATTTTGTTTACGCTGGCCATATTTGGATCAAAATGCAGGCCGGTTCATCGAGAACAGGCCAAATTGCAGTCCATGTATAGGCTGGCTGATTGTACCCAAGTCAATCCATTGATCAACTTGGATACAACCATCCTGTTGGAGTTCTCTACATGCAATTAGTGCCAGCGGCTATAGCCACTAGCATTAATCACTGTATTCTGCAGTCGAGGAAGGCTCTGGGTTTTTGTTTAGTATCTGTAGTGACTTGCATGGTCTCCCCACAAGTTGGTGGGGTCTCCTGGTTCACCTCTGCATCTCGGGTCAGGCATATGTCATGGAAATGGTGGAAGGGTGTGTGTTTTTTTTTTTTTTATGTGTTTTTGTTCTCTCTTGTTGCCATGGACAGCCTTGGTTTCTCTTTTGTTAATATTATTTGTACTGAATATATTGTTTAGAATTTAGATTCATTATTTTTTTAGTTTTGACAGTTGAATAATCATCATTCAAAACACCTGTGAGGCTCCAAATCCTGATGAAGTGGCTCATTCCACAAAATGTGTAGACTTCAGTATACTGGTGATCTGGCCTTTTGTATTGTGCTCATTTTATGGTGTCCTGATATGCTCTTTTGGCAATTTTTTAATTTTGTTGTAGTAAAGAACAATTAGAAATATTATTGTATGTCAATGCGAGCTATATATTCACTATCGGTGGTGTCTTTCAGGTTAAATTCATTAAAATCTGCAGCGAGGATTAGTAGAGCCAATAGGCCCAAGAGTACTATGTCCGCTTTTTCTGCCCAGCTCCTCTATTCATGGAAGCAGTAGTACACTTTCTATAAATGAAACAAGATCTATGAATGGAGGGGGCAGACATTCCATTCATCTGCCATTCCTCTATTTTCCTCATTTATAGACGCTATAGTACAGTCTTTATGAATGGAGGAGGTGAGTGGGAAAGGTGGACTATAGTTGGTCATTTTTCATCAATGCCTGTCACAGGTCCATCTGCTCTATTAATCCCCCACCACACTGGAAGATTATGGTGGTGGGGTAGGGTGGGGAATTCATAGAGGAAGCTTTCAAAGAATGAGGGAGCCAGCAGCACAAGGGAAAGAAGATATTAATGTTAAGCAATGTCTCTTTTGCTGCTTTTTTTTAAATGTTCTGGAAAGATATTTGTCTGTGACTTATAAGATATCTTATATAAGAAGCAGAGACAGTCATGTGACTTGTTCAGTTCATGATGGGCCCCAAAGAACAAGAAGGGCCCAACAAATGGATACTACTTAATAGTCATGAAAACACAACTGAAAAAAAATAGAGCTGTGAAAGATAATATGTTTTGGTGTAATATGTTTTGGTGACTGAAGACAAATTGGAGAATTATGCTGGAAAGTATTGCAATTTATTTTGGTTTGGACAGAATATATGGATTATGGTCGTTGTCAGATAGAAATGAGTTAACCAACTTCAATGAAATTATTTGCCAGCCTTTCTTTACTTTCACTCAACCCTAGAACAAAAAAAGTCCCAAACTATTCCTCATGAGAGTCTTGTCTGCCGTTATAACAGCTGCATCCTTCCAGATCCTGTTGGAGAAGATATCTACTTTGCATCCAACTAATCTAAATTACATGTGTTCCAAAGCTTCCATTGTATAGTAATTGGATAGACCTTGACTTAGAGTTTGCATGTAAGCAAATTATTTCCAAATGATGTTGTTTTCCACCTAGAACAGAGAATCATTCAGACTATTGATCTATAAAGAACCAAACAGCTCCTACTGCAGCCTGTCCAATGGATGTCAATCCGAACAATCCTGTCACAGTGGCTTGCTTTACTGTGATCACATTGGAGGCAGTCATTGGGATATGTATGAATGTCTTCATTATATTTGTGAGTCTACAAAATGGTTTTATAGAGAAAACTGTTCATTCTGGAAATGCAATCCGTGCTTCAATGGCCAGGTCCAGCATCTTCTTAGTACTGGTTCTGATTTCCTCCTTCTCCTGTTACATTTTTTTCTTTAACGTGTATAACACTTTCATTGTTTTATTTAATTTATTAACCATTTACAGCATCAGTTCTAGCTTGTATGTCACTGCCATCTTCTGCTTCTTCCTGTTCATAAAGATTGTTCAGATCAAGTCTGGTGTTCTGGTCTTGGTGAAGATGAAGATCACTGTAATCTTCCCTCGGTTGGTGGTGGCAGTTGAGGTCTTCTCTTTATGCTGCAGCTTTCTGAGTTTTATGTTCTTTGCTGTCAGTGGAAAAGTTCACACCAACAGCTCTGCAGTGTCAACTGCCAGTGTTATTGAAGGAAAAAGTCTGGTTCGACAAATCAATTTTCTAACCTTGGCTGTGTTTTTGGTGCCCTATTTCTTAATGGCCATGACCACCATCTTATCAGTCAGCTCCCTCATACTTCACAGTCGTAAAATGAAGGTCATGAAGATTACTGGTGCTGTCAGTACCAAGACATATAAAAGCACTGTGTGCAAAATGACGGGCTTCTTCATCATCCACACACTTTTCTGTTTGATTTTATTCCAAGTCTTTTTTTCATATGCTACTGATCTGGGTCCTGGGTTCTGGACGGTAACAATAATAATGTTTTTACTATCGCCAGCCAAAACTCTCATCCTCATTTACAGCAACACCCAACTCAGGAACAACTGGAAAATGATAATTGATTGTATTTTCTGTTGCAAGTCATTTGTCCAAGCGGAAAACACTTAAAGAAGGTGTAAATCTGAAGAAACTCTGGAGGCCCTGATTCACTCACTATCTGCCTCCAGACTTCGATGACACCCTGTTACTACCATGACAGCTTCGACATAACACCCCCCCCAAACAAAGTTGTTGTGTTATGCATGTTATAGTGGTTCTGGTCTCCCCTAGTGGATCCCACACCTTCTTTGCCCCTCTCTTCCCTTCTCCCTACACCCCTTTCCCACCCTCCCCCCCCCCCCCGGGGTCCTCTAGCCCCTTCTCTCTTCCTGTCCCTACAACTGGTTTAGCCAATCATCTATTAGCTGACGTTGCTTCTTCCTTTAGATTTCATCTCGTCCTCTCAGCACTCAGCTTTGACCTCCCCCCCGGGAATGTAGGCATTAATTGTTCCAGATAGTGGTCTCCCGGAGCTCTCCTGAATTTTTTAGGAGCTCTCCTGGATGGGGTGCCAAACTGAAGCCCCAGTGTCTTATCCCTGGCTGCTATTTATGCACCCCAGCAGGGGCGTCCTACTCTACCTTTCCACATCTTTACCAGATTGCGCATTACTCCTAGACTACCAGCTTACTCTGGTTTATCCTGTCTGACGTCTGTCATCTTTTGTCAAATGCTTTTTTTGCAATGTGTATGTGCATGACTGTATCTATGTGTATTATGCCTGTTGATGGCTTGCAGTCGCCATCATTATTCTATATTTCTGTAAAGTATGCTTAATATTCTCTAAACAAAATATATGAAAAAAAAGGTGTACATCCTAAATCAGGGGTGTCCAAACTATGGCCCTCCAGTTGTTGCAGTTCCTCAACACCTGGAGGGCCATAGTTTGGACACCCCTGTCCTAAATGAATGAAATAAATTTGCTCTGTGTGCTTTGTATCACAATTTATTGCCATTTTTTTGTTTAGATAAAATACCATTTGTAGCAAATTTTGAAGAAATGCAATGCTTACAAACAATAATAATAATAATAATAATAATAATAATAATAAAATATATATTCCTAAAAATGACTTTGTATTAGAAAAATGACAGGTTTCAGAAAAATTGGTGCAATGAAATATAGTGCATCTGATACATTGCTAGAGCCCTGTTGTATTATCAGTGTTATATATTATGTAGCCTTATTTAGAAAAAACTAGAACACAAATACTTATATGGGTACTGCCAGATACGTCTGTTTATAATTTATATAATGTCAGAGAATCAAGGGTGGTAATCCATTGGTGGTTGGTACAGGTGAATGTCACCCTGAGTAGGATCTGATCACACACATGCCTGCTCTTCCTCTTGCACCAGTATCTTATACCAGCCTTTTTCAACCAGGTTGCCTAGGCACCTTTGGGTACCTTCTGGGTTCCTCAGGGATGCCTTGACAAAATGCCTAAAATTTAAAAATTATGTACAAGACAGCAGATGGATAAAGCCTGCTTTTTTATTACATAAGGCCACAGACTTTATTGTGCAACATAACCTTGGGTGCTGTGCAGAGCAGCTGCCAGTGTCCTAGCGACCACTGGCATCATTGGTTGATAAGGAGGATATCAGGCACCTGCACAGCATCTTTTGAACGTGGATACATTCAGCCTGCCTATACATGGTTTGAATCTCAGCCGATTCCTGCTGAACCGGCTGGGATTTGAACATTCCATATCCGGCTTTTGTTTTTTACATTTTAGAATGGGATGCCTCAAGATTGTGCTTAATTTTAAAGGGTGCCTTGACTGGAAAAAGGTTGAGAAACACTGGTATATACCGTATGTAAGGGACATTACATTAGTCCTTCTTACTGTGATTGGATACAGCAGATCAACAGGTTTCAAACAAACTCATTGGCTGAAGCCTGCTGACAAAACTATGTTGTGTCCAATCACAGCACAGGCCAGCAAGTGGCACGTGCACATTTGCATGAAACCCAGAAGCCAGGCGGGGACGTACGGGTTTGTTGCCTAGTCTGGCTAGGCCTCTCGCCTGCAGTATATGTACTTTGGGTGGACAGCAAGCAGTTTAGAGCCACAAACAACCTCTCCTGCGCTCTATGACCCAGAATAAGGGTGGATGGATGGAACCAGAACTTGAAAAATTCGACCACCAATGCATATAGGGTTGTGCGGCTCTAAACAAGGCTGGGGAAGCCCTTCCAGTACTGCAAAGTGAAACAAGAAAGAAAGCGCACCAACCTTGTGCATTACCTCAGTAAACCATAATTTTATTAAATTCAGAATGATACTCACGAACAATGAAGTAAATCAAGCATGTAAGTCCTCAATGAACT